GACTAAATTGGGACGAGTATAATAACTCCAGGTCATTGCTACAGTCTCCAGCCTCAGCAAGAAAATTCCGTAGGGACATGCAATAAGGGACAAAATAAAGCCCTCTTAAAAATTCCTTATGGAACCTTATCCTTCCATTACTGATTTGGAGCACAACGCAACTTAAATCAAAACGAAAGGGGGACAAGAAAGTTGAATGCTACTCTCGCAGACTACTAACATCAAAATTAAGTAATATGCGCAGTATCGCCTTGCTCTCTATGCTCACACCCTAGAGTGATGGTCATTATATTGTATCTCCCTTTGGTTTATGTGTGTACGTGTGTGTGTCTGTATGTATTTAAAAACTGTAGCCTCGTCCAACAACTCACCGCGATCTGATCGCTCTCGCGTTTCCATTGCTGCACATACTCAGTCTCCAGCTTGGCTTGATCCGACAGGGCGGTCAGGAGACGTGACAGCTCCAACTGAACGCAAGAAAATTGCAAAGGATAGGGAATCATAAAAGGAGGAATGGAAATTTGTTGGGATTCTGCCTAAATACTTTAATCTGACATGCTTCTACTGCGTGGCCCAGAATGAAGAGAAAAGTCTGATTGCGAATAGTCCTTACGATTACGAATAATTGGTTTTTACTATTAAAAATGTTACTTAAAAAGATGTGTTTTGCTACTTCAATGTGCTACTGTTATTACGACTCCCAGTGCTGATGCCATAAATTTACACGGTAAACATGTTTATATGAAATGTATAAGTATAAAATGTGCTTAGAATGTTTCAACAAGAAGAACTGCCATATTCTTCCGCAAAGTTTATGTTTATTGTCTTAAAAAGCTCTGCTACAGCAGTTACCCATTAGCAAGTCATGAAAAATAGTTGTGCCCACTTCTTTCAAGATATCGCTATTGAAAAAGATTGGCAGTAGTGTCAAGTAGTATAATGAATGACTATGTTTGAATAAAAGTGCCAAAAACGTAATCCTGTTTTGTCGAAGCCCAAGGTGGAGTGCAATTCTATGGTTGATGATGCTGTATACAGCCAGCAACCTCCAATGTCTTGTTGTGATGCTAATTTACGAGTCCATTCCGCACGAATTCAGAAGAGTACTAACTGTTTTATACCTGCCTCACTTCTTTGAGGATCACATTTCTTATCAGGAACGATCCTTTGACAAGAATAGTGGGGACGCTTTCCTGTTGACTGAACTTTTTTTGGAGGACAAAAGCAATTAAGCTGTTCACAAGAAAGCGGAGTAAAGGCTCTAGTTTGCCAATGAAGTCTAACAATTCCGGAGCGTTGTCTTGAATTCCTGTCTTCCTCTTGGGCGGATCAGGCACTGGAAGGGATAATTGGTTCAAACTTAAGTGGAGCTGAAGCAGTCCTTCACGTGATATACTGTCATGGTTATACGATCTTCGTCATTTGCGATTTTTCGTTTATCCCTAAAAGAGGTTGAAGTATGAATCTCTTAATGCCTCACTTTAAGTGTGCGATTAGGACAAGTCTAGGCTGATTGTAACCGTAGACGACGACGGATTCAGTTAATCTGTCTTCGCGTGATTAAAGCTCTATTTGGATTGCGGAGAAGAAGAGCCACGTTTTCGATTTGAAAACATTCGACAGAGCTAATTGGAGCTGGGATACATTCTTATAACGACATATAGCTCGCAGCAAATCTCAAAAATTATCTGCATTTATGAAGATCGGACTCAGGGCATAGTCTAGAGGGATTGCTTTGTCTATTTTAACGTCATTCTGGACTTTGTTGTGCATACTTTCATTTAGGATGAAAGTGCGAGACGAAGACATTTTGTGCCGATCTCAATGGGAGACGACGGCCGATTCTCATTATTCTGCAGCCTTTTGGCTTTCGCACGACGTTCATGTCGACGTAATCCACGAGGCCTCTTCCCTC